CCCGTAGTAATGTTGGTGTACCCCTCTCTCGACGTTCGTCCTTTGGGACATATTATTGCATGCTTTTGTGATACATGATTGCATCCTTCGGTAGATACTTTCGTCTTTTGTCAAAATGTTATTTTATCCTTCTGTAGATACTTTCGTCTTTTGTCAAAATGTTATTTTATCCTTCTGCAGATACTTTCGTCTTTTGGGAATAGTATTGTATGCTTCCTAGATGTTTGTCCTTTGTCGAATAGTGTATTATTCATTGATTTCGGGTGGAATTTATCCTTCATTATGATATTTTTTGTAATATATGTCCTCTACTTTTTGTTTGATATTCGTGTTGTTTGTCTTGCATTGTGTCATTTTCGGTGTTCTACTCTATCAATATATTTATCCTTGATTAAAGTGATATAAATACTGTCGCTATTCCGGCACAAATTAGATTTTCTGAATGCCTTTTGCGATAAAGAGCGGCCACACGGTAAGTTCGTAATAATGTCAAAGAAAACAGAAGTAGTGTCTCTGGAAGAAGCTGTGAAGAGACTCATGGATGTTGACGCAGCGAACACACGTAAAATTGATCTCTTGGAGGGTCAAATAAACGATTTGGTGAAGCTGCTGACTGAATATCGCGAAGAAAATGTGAATTCAAACAAAAACGAATTCGATAGATTGGCTGAACGAATCGAATCCATCCAATTGTCAACTGCCTCGCATTTCGAAGAGATAACGAGTGAATGTGAAAACAATAAACGGCAATGGAACGTTGTTGTTGGTCGATTAGATCAAATTTCAAAGTCGGTAAGTAATTCACAATCTGAATTTCGACACAAGGCATTGGATAGAGAAGAAAGCGAAGGCTTTCAGGTGCAGCCGGAAGAAAACTGTACGACAGCTATGCCAACATTATCTTCGTCAAATAGAATAAAATATCCAATCGTGATACCTGTGTCATCGGCAGATCCAGAGTTTTGTGGGAAAGATCGAGAGAGTCCAACGGCATTTTTGATTAGTGATCAAGAATATACAGAAACAGTCTATGCATGGGATGGAGTGAAATTACTTAATGGCATCTCGCAATTTTTACGAGGCTTTGCGCTAGAATGGTACTGCCAATTGCGTCTGGCACACCGTAGGCCGCAAAATTGGACAGAATTTTCAGATTTATTCCTGATACAATTCAATTCACCAGTTCGTAAAGCACTACAAGAGCAAGAATGGCATCATTGTTTTCAAGAAGAAGATGAAACAATCAACGAATTTTTAGTTCGCCTTCGTGGCCTCTGGAGGGAGCAAAGACCGAAAGAAACTGAATCCGATTTAGTCAAACACCTTTTCTGCAGAATGCGAACTGAATTATTAAATATGATAGGAATATCTCGCAACGCATCGTTGGATGAAGTAATTACTGAAGCTCAACAAATAGAAGACATTTTGTATCGTCGATCTCAAGGTGAAAGATTAACAGAACGAATTAAAGAAACTGAAACATTATCAAAGAAGTATGATAACACATATACTCCAGGTGAGACACCGTCAGGATGGAATAATAAATTAAGCAACTATCCCGTGAACGAAGCAGAGCCATGCGAATTTACGAATGATCAAAATCACACGACGGTAACGCCGAAGAACCGTCAATCAGTAAATTCGCCGGCTTGCTGCTCTTGTGGAGGTTATGAATGTCCATCAAATTATTCTCATATTCAACATGATAATTATCGACAACAACAAAATACATCGAAGTCAAAAAACAACCGTGGAGCACTGGACGAACGGACCAGACCCGCTCCTTTTTGAATAATTCCGTTCAACTGCCAGCTCAAACGCCTTCCATTCAGAATTATGAAACTAATCTTCTTACGATAAACGGAAGCATAGCAAAACAGCCGGTAGAAATGCTCATTGACTCTGGTGCGTCACTAACTTTAATTAATTCGAGCTTATTTTTTCAACTACCGTATCATGTTCGACGGCACGCTCAATATCCTACAGTAAATCTACAACTACGCCTTGCTGATAAATCCTGTTTACAAGTATATAAGTTTGTTGAACTTCCCATCTCGATGGTAAATCGTATTGTAAAACACACTGTTCATGTAGTTCCACATTTATGGCGACCCTGCATAATCGGTAACGATTTTATTCAAAAGCACAATGTTCAAATACACGGTGGGCGACAAATAGTGTATTTCAAGGACCCGCCTGAGGAAAAGTTGTCTGCTCCTAATCTAATTTATAAAATAGGCGAGAGAAAATGAATACGCTTCGTCAGCAAACGAATTTAGATATATAAATGAACATGAAATTAAGTCACAACTAGAGGAAAAGATAACACTTTTTATACGTAAAATTAATACATGAATATGAAAAAATTTTAAAATTTGATTAAAATAAATTTTAACTATTATTTACATTTTAGATATACACTTTTCAAATATTACTCTTTCGAAAAAACACGGCGAAATGCATTGCAAACTATTATTATTCCACAAGCAGTTCTTCCAAATTATGTTATTATTTACAAGCTTATTAGCAACACCAATCTACAGTCTGGTGAATTTTACGATACCTAAATCAGACGTTGTACACACAAAATCAGGCCTCATATTTCACTATCTTTCCCAATATCGACCAGCAAACAGAATAGTGACATTTACAGTTACCATTCCAATGCTAGAGGATATGTGCTATTTGATTCCAAAGGTAGCTATGAAGAAGATTCCTTACTGTTTTCCCAATTCAACAATGGCGAAAACTATATCTCAGGCGGATAGCCTGAAACAACTAATGAAGAAATATGGCAAGAAATCAACAGTTGTTAAACGGCCAAAAAGATTTCTTGGCGAAGTTATATCAATCGGGGTTGGGTCCGCTGCTCTAGCATTATCGACAGTAAACACAATACAACTATCAAATTTAAAAGGTGAAGTGAAGGCTATGTCGGATTCGCTTATGCGCATGGATCAAACATTACAAAATCATCAAGCGCAAATTTTGCATCTTTCGGAGGGACAATTGAAACTTGCACAAGAGTTAAACCACACACAGGTTGCCCTTAATAAGACAATGGATTTAGTGATGGAACATGCAGCTATATTACGAAGTCATGATACAGCATTAAGGACAATTACATCAATGACTGTGTTTCTCAGCAACAAATTAGCTGCATTTGTTCATTCTGTTGATACTCACTTTATACACTCGTCAATCGACGATATTCTATCAAACAAGCTCAATCTTGGGTTTGTACATCATAAAGATCTTCCAAGAGTGGTCGAGTTAGTTACTCAGATGGTAGACGTTTCTTTTGATGAAGCGGAAACTGTGCTCCCTGTAGTTGAGTTAGTGACGCGATTATTAGTTCAACAAAACGTGGACTTCGTGCCAGCCGAATTAGTAGAAAAAACAGAAAATGGTTTTCTGATTGGAAAGTTAACCTTCACTTCATTTTTCGCTGCGCCAAGCCGTGATCAAGTGCCATACTCTATCTATGAACTAGTCCCAATTCCATTCAATCAAGGAAATAACCGAGTAAGACTTGCTCAAATGCCTCAATATTTAGGAATTCAGCCCAATTCACGTAAATTCATACGTTGGTCAATGGAAGAAGCGACATCATGCGATTTTGTTCTAATGACATCATGCCGAGAGACACCAGCAATCCGCAGAGATCTACAAGACACTTGTCTCTACGAAATTCTGACTGATTCTATTCTATCAAATTGTCGTACAGAACCTTTTGCAGACCCAGTATTTGTTCATCGTGTAGGACAGCATTGGGCTATATCTGTTAACTCCACAACTCAATGCCATTCCACCAACACATTCACAGATGTGGAGCAACATCAACTCATGGATAACAACGCTATTACCTTACCCCCTGTGGCTTTAATCACAACAATGGACACTTCCTCGCTATTGTGTGATAAATTTTTCTTGCCAGGAGTGCCTGTTCGAATTAGATCAACCGTTAACTTAATTCAAAATCTGTCGATAAATCCATTAAATGAAGAGTTATTCAATCTCCACGAATTATTGAGTAATAATACCTCTTGGGCTAAATTGCCCTATTTCCCGCCAAATATGCAAGCAGTAATTGACTTCATTTCAAATACTCCCAAACCAGTCTTCTCAAATAACTTTCAAACGTGGTCAAGCCATCCAATCTCACTTGTCACAATTGTAATCATCGTCGTCTTTATTATCTTGATCGGCATTCTTTTATGCTTATATTATGTCCGCGCCAAAAAAAATAAAACTCAAAACGTCACCCTCAAGATGCCGTCGATGAAAGTTCTTGAACAATTAGTCGATGGATAATACGAAATGGTAAAATCAGACGATGTTTTTCTCTCTTTTTATTCAAATTTTCATTTTTTTCTATTCACCCACTTTGCTCTTATCTTGCATAAAGACACTCAGAAGTATCTGTACTCTCGGTCAGCGTATGGATCATTACTGGTATTATATCTTCACGGACACATTACTGTTAAGGTTTTTTATTGTTCCAACACTTTCCTTTGTTTTTTATGTCTGTTTTATAGTTCATTAAGTGCGTTTCGTTTTTTTTCATTGTTTTTGTGAGAACATATTCTTTTATATACATGCGTCTTTTGGTGGTAGTTATCTTAGGTATATCTTCGATTCATCACCATCACATGCATCTTAACTTTCGCGATACGTATGAATATTCTTGTCCTTCCTTTACCTTCTCGTTCTTTTAAAAAGTAAACATTATATTTATTTTATTTCATTTTAGAATCAACATTCAACAATGAATCTTAATTAGCGTCAAACAAAGTATTTCACGTTGCACCATTGCCTATCTGATATTTCATGGCCTCGTGCAGTTCATATACGCGGTATTCCTTACATTTTCTCTCTTGAATATCGGCGAGCCGAAAAAAGAAACCTTTAACCAAGTACAAGATAGAGAGGAAAAGCGAGAGAAAAGGATAAAAATAAAACAAATTGAGTAGTGATCGAAGGTCAACATATACGTTTCTTCTTACACTGGTATCGGATGGAGCTCGAAGTGAAATATGCAACAACTACATCATCTGTGGTTTCAGACAACAGTAATAAACATTCAATCATTGTACCGTCTTCGACAGAAATTCCAGTATTTCACGGAAAGCATTCAGAATGTCCAAAGACGTTTTTGATCCGTGTCCAGGAATATATTAAATCATTACATCTCTGTAACCGTGTTATATTACCCGATGATATATCGCAGTTTTTACGGGCAACGGCTCTGGAATGGTATTATCAATTGGATATGTTGCGTCATCGACCACAAACATGGGAAGAATTCATGGAATTGTTTCTCACTCAATTTAATCCACTGATTCAAAGAGCCAAGTTAGAAACAGAATGGAATGAATGTAAGCAGGAGGAAAATGAGACCGTAAACGACTTTTTCGTTCGTCTTTGTGCTTTGTGGAGAGAACAAAAGTCGCATGAAACTGAAACCGATCTAGTCCAACATTTTCTATGTCGGATGCGTGACGACTTGGCGAACGTGATAAAGATATCTTGCAATGCTTCATTACACGAAATAATTGCCGAAGCTCAACATATAGAAGAAATTTTATATCGTCGAGTTCAGATTAAGCGATTATCAAATCAACTAAGACAACTCTCGTTTCAGAAAGTTAAAAAATTACCGAACAGGCACTATGATGAATACTATTCCAATGAAACAACTCTGGAGCTGACTAACAAATATTCAGTGAAGGAAAATGTGGCTAGCCGCTGTGATAATTATCGACAAAGGCGAAGCGAACCAAATACGAGACATCGGATGGACTATAGACAAAAGAACCTCCCGCACTTTTGTGTCAACAACTCGGTTAAACTGTTTGCTGAATGTCACTCTTTTGACGCTGATTGGGACGGAGACATGAGTATAGAATGTATTTTTTGTAACACAAACTGTACAGATCACTGTTGCTCGGAATGTGCCAAAATGCATCGGGGCCTAAAATTCCAACGATTGCTTCGACTTTTGGGACAATGCTCGGAAAGTATTATGTACTACGATGAAATTAATTCAGTTGTAAGAAGAATTCGACAAGTAAAAAATTTATTCAAATAAAATAAAGATTTAAAAAATAATATTAAACTTCGATGTTTATTATATTCTAGATTGAACCATTCGCTGTACCATTGCAATTCCATCCTATTCAAGTTTTCGACAAGAGAAAACATGCGATGGATTTGTTTGCGAAGAGATATCTTGAGAAAGCAGCTGATGATGTACATCATCTTCTTCCAGTCGATGTTTCTGCTGATGGAAATTGTTTATACAATTCTATTGTTGTTTTTATAGATAATTTGACAGTAACGGCAGATGAATTACGAGGTAAAAAGATTTATTTACTTTTCCTCTATGCTATTGTATAATTGACTTCGTACCAATTTTTAGTTCGAACTATCATGGAGCTTATGTCGAATGAAAATTATTATGAAACTATGTATTCACAATTGATTGGACCCATCGACAATGCTATCAAATCTATCTGCAAAAAAGGTACGTATTCCGAATTATATGAAGTAGCCGCACTATGCAATGTCCTTCAATGTAATATACGAAGTGTGTATCCAAAAATTAATTTCGAGCAGTATATGACTTTATGGGATAGTGTCTTCACACCTGTTCCACCTGTTATCGCCAATTCTAATATTGCTATTTTGTGGTCGCGTGCCGAAAACGAAGATGATGCCCGGGCAGCGAATAATAACCGATGGATTCCAAATCATTTTGTTCCACTTCTATCACCGAATATGCAAAATGAGTCTGACAGCCACAATAACTCAACGTCAACCAATAAAGTAGGTTGTTGATTGGTAAATAAAGAAATCTAGAAACTTTAAATTTTTTATTTTTTAGACTCCACAAAAGAAAACATTTAAAAACAGTTATACTACCCAGATACGAATACCCGAATTTCAATCATCTCCTAGCAGACGAATGCGAACTGATGAAAGTCTCGAGAAAGGCCCGTCCCAGCCAGTCATTTCTGACTCGGTACAAAATGGAAAAAGCGACAGAGAAAATCAGCGTCAGATTCAACTTGAAAAGAAAAGACAATACAGCCGATCGGCTCGTATGGATGAAACCGAGGAACAACGTCAGAATCGACTTAAGGAGGCACGAGAACGAAGTCGATCGGCTCGTGCGGACGAAACCGAGGAACAACGTCAAAATAGGCTCGGACAACAAAGTAGATTAAGCAAAACCAATAGACTTCGAAAAAGATCTGAAAAACAGTCATATGAAAACACTGGTACTGATCGAAGTAGTATTGAATCACGATTTTCTTTTGATCAATCATGGCCTGAACCAATTGCTCGTGAGTTGAAGGAGACTCGTTTACAGCAGTTTTTAGAACAAATGTCCATGCCAATTTTGGCTGAAGTTATTTGTGCAGTTTGCAATGTTCGCACTTCAGCGAAAGATTCAAAAACAATACCAGTTCTACAAATTCCAAATATTCATTTACTTAAAGTTTCTGAAGAGTTTAAAGGCTTGATTCAATATTTGAACCAGGGCACTAGAGTTTCAGCCATCAACAACACAAAAACAATAACAATAGAACTTGCAAAAAGTGACATATCTTTATATTTTAAAAGCTCATTCTAAGTATACATTTTTCTAGATGCCTCTACGTTTAATTCGCCGTCTTTTCTTTGCCAAAACGATGTTATTTTATACAAAAGCGGTTTATATCAACAAAATAAAGTGGACATGTGCAGAATTTGTCAAAAATGTCATGGTTCTCTTTTGAATAAATCTATCCCGAAGTTTGCACCTGCCAATAATATGTGGTTAGGTGACGTACCCACTGAATTACAAGAATTGACAATTCCAGAACAAAAATTAATATCACTTTGTCGTCATAACAGTTGTATAATAAAACTTCATTCACCATTTCATTCAAGTACTACGGCTCAGTCAGCACTGAAAGGCAATTGCATTACTTTTCTCCAAAATGTACCCAATATTGTCGACAGTTTACCTCTCAAACTTGATGATTTATGCGATACGTTAAAGGTAATATTTATTGGAGCTCGACCACCCAATCGCATTCAGCTGAAGAAGGTTCTTACGGTGCGGAAGAAAAAGATAATTGAAGCATTAAAATGGTTAAAAAAACACAATATACATTATCAAAAAGTGAATATAAATCTCGAAAATATTAATCAACTGCCGGAAGATGATGTGCCAGAATGCATTATGTCAACCTTGGAACAAAAAATAGGTGATGAGGACGGTCAATCTGAAAGAACTGGATATGTTCCTGATCCATTGTTGAATCCACAAGAAGGCGCTACTGCAGATGTCATACCTATCAGTAACAGGTAAGAGAATCTGATAAATCAATGAGTTCATATAACTTCTTTATTTTAGTGCTGTTCTCGATGTCAATGGTTCATCAATATCTTCCGATGAGATAGCTAATTACCTTTTATACAAAATACAAAATAATGGAAATAATGACCAGGCACTTACTGAAAACATTTACTTAGTTCCACATTCATCAAAACCTGTCAATGAATACTTCAATCCAAAGTTATTGGCAGGGCTGTACCCACATTTATTCTGTTATGGCCTTGGCACACCCGAAGATCAATCGCGTCCAGTTAAAGTCAATTTTCGAGAGCACATTCGATACTTATTATCTTACAACGATCGCCGATTTGAGACAAGCCACAGTTTTATATTTGTGATTTTTAATCTGTTACAACGCCGTGATGCCTGTTTTCATGCTCAACTGATAGCCACAAAACCTTACTTTCGAGCATCTGCTGATGAAATTCAATCATTGAGTAGTAAAGATATTGAAACAGCTCTCCAGAACAGTGTCACACAGCCATACAGTCGTACAGAATCCAATAGTACGTTAAACAAGCTTCTTCAACATATTAAGACTATTGGAGGTCGAGTTATGGGTTCAGCGTATTCACGGACCGCTTTGCGTACACAGATTCATGCGCTAATCTATAATCAAGGATTGCCCAGCATCTTTCTAACCATAAATCCCGCTGATATTCACAGTCCTATAGCCCTATATTTTGCAGGCGTGCAACTTGACTTAGACAATATTCGAAGTGAACAACTCATGGATGCTTACAAACGAGCTGAAATCGTAGCATCACATCCAGTTGCCACTGCTAAATTTTTTCACGTATTAATCACCAATATTTTAGATACTATCATAATGGGCGGTGTTCTTGGGCCCGTTAAGGCTTATTTTGGCACTGTCGAAAGTCAAGGGCGAGGTTCTCTTCATTTACATCTACTTATCTGGCTTGCTCATGATATGACACCCGCTGATCTCAAAGAAAAGGTTAAAGATGCCAATTTTCGTGAAAAATTAAAAGCATACTTGGAAGATATTATCAAGGAAGATCTAGATAGATTCAAGGAAAGCCCTGTGCGCCAAAATCCAAACAGTAATAATCTTTTTCTTTTTAGCCCTCTTTGAATATCTCTCTTTGTTATGCTATAGCACCATGTTCATCCGATACTTCTCAACGAAACTCACAGGACAATATCTACGCAACCTTACGCACTATCGATTTAATAGATGGTGGTGAGAACGAACGCCAGTCTCCTGTTCGGCTAACACGAAGAAAAGAGCAACGATCTCCGCCAGTTCCTGGTTGTGCATCAACTATTTCGTTTGGCTCTCCAGCAGCCCCTGGTTGTGCATCAACTATTTCGTTTGGCTCTCCAGCAGCCCCTGGTTGTGCATCAACTATTTCATTTGGCTCTCCAGCAGCCCCTGGTTGTGCATCAACTATTTCGTTTGGCTCTCCAGCAGCCCCTGGTTGTGCATCAACTATTTCGTTTGGCTNTAAGTAGAGCAGCCCCTGGTTGTGCATCAACTATTTCATTTGGCTCTCCAGCAGCCCCTGGTTGTGCATCAACTATTTCATTTGGCTCTCCAGCAGCCCCTGGTTGTGCATCAACTATTTCATTTGGCTCTCCATCTCGACGTCAGTCATTACGGACACCAGCTCAATATCAGTCTGTACCGGGTACGATACTGATAGTCAGTAGAAGGAGACAGAACATCTACTTCTTTTCTTAGATGTAACCACCTCAAATAAAAACTCAAATATAATACCAGCTTGCTTATTTGCCCCAAATCCATCATCGCCTAATTTTTCATCGAGGTTTCGAGCAGATATAATACAGCTGGTTGAAACAGGCAACACGCATTACCATACTGACACTTGCTATAAATATTGCAAGAAGAAGGGAGGTCTCAAAAAGATTTGTCGGATGCGCATGCCACGGAAACTAGTTCCCGTTTCGACGATTGATCCGGACACTGGTAATATTTCAATGCGCCGCTCAGATCCAATGATCAATAATTTTAACGAGTATATTATAGCAGCTTGTCGTTCGAATATGGACATTAAATTTATCTGGAGCGGTAGTGATGCAAAAGCTCTCGTCTATTATATTACTGACTATGTCACAAAAATGAGTCTCTCTTTTCATGATACGCTTTCTCTTGTGCAAAAGTGCGTAACATCTGTTGTGGATCCATCTCATCAAACGGATAAACAAAATGCAATTGAAAAATCACGAAAACTCGTCTTACGGTGCTACAATGCCCTTGCTTCTCAACAAGAACTATCTGGAGTACAGGTAGCTTCTTATCTCATGAACTGGAATGATCATTACACGACACACAAATTTCAAGGTCTTTTTCTAATTCAAACTGAACGATATTTACAAGCACAGCTCAATGAAATCCGAGCAAAACAAAAACTAACGCATTTAGCCGAAGGTGAGCAATTATTACGAACGAATACCTATTGTCTTGCTTTTTTATTCAGATGTAATTGATGACGATATGTCGGATGAAGATATATCTGATGGTGTAACTACTAATGATGAGAACAACGATGAGGAACAGTTTCAAGTTCAATCTACTGATTCTGATAAGAACTACGTACTAGTTAACACAAGAATTGATTATCAATACCGTTCCGATATTCTGAACGCAACGTGTTTATATAACTTTGTTAGCGTTGTATATAAGAAAAAGATGAATGCTGCTGATCTAAAATATTTATCAAAGAATACTGTGTTATTACGAGAAAACGAAGGCAACAGAAGAGGTCGGCCACCTAATAAACGTTACCCTTTCCAAAGTCAACATCCACAAGCAAAAACACATGTTTTGATGAAATACAGCGAACCTCATGTGCCGATTCTTTATGGTCCACAAATTCCTCGACAAGATCGTGTTGATACTCGAGATCGATATTGTCGCGCAATCCTTACACTTTTTGTACCTTGGCGCACCATTGCTGATCTGTGTGACCCCAATCAAACATGGGAAGAAGCTTTCAATTCTCGCCAACAACACATTTCCATTCAGTCATGGAAGATTATAGAGAATATTCAACTTTTACATGAATGTAGGAAAGACCGCGATGAACATCTTCTTCAAGTTATTACTGAAGCTCAAACTGATGATGGAATTGATCCAATACTTTTACCTCAAGATAAAAATTTTGACAGCGACGACGATATTGACGAGAATGAAGCTTTATCAGATTTACTAAAAGACCTAGCTGAGTATACAAGTACAGGAGTTAATGCTGAAAAAAGAACAGCGGAAGATCAATATATTCAAGAAACTATCGAGGCGGTTGAAAACGTTGGGCGATTTAGTGATATGAACAGTGAGTCACAGTTTATAATGATTAGTGATATAAAATAGAAAATAAATGTGAAATATTCGTGTAGTTCGTCGTTCATCTATTTCAAATGAATTTGCTGACTCCACGAATCAACAAATTGAACCATTTGTTGCTGCCACAAACAATTTAGTTAATTTAAATAAGAAATGGCAAGAGCAACTGAAAACGGAAAAGGAACGAGCTAGGCGAGCTTTAATTACAGGCAATCATGACACAGAAGATGAATCTTCAGATGTGCATGTTGAAAAACATGCCATGGTAACAGTAGTGGATTCAATTAGTGGCAATAATAATAGTAATCTTGCAGATGCTGGTTTAATTCTCCCAGTTATGTCAGTTAGAATCCATGTTTCTACACAAAAAAGTATTGCTGACGAATTCACACTAAATAGAGAACAACGTGCCGCATTCATGATCATTACGAGTCATCTTGACGGTGACAGTCAATATCGTACAGGTATTTTATATTTTATAATACAGCCTATCAGAATAAAATATTTATCGTGTTTCTAGGTCACAATAATGGTCAACTTATAATGTGCATACCTGGGTGTGGTGGTACCGGGAAATCACAACTGATTCGTGCTCTTAGCAAATACTTTGTTATTACCAAAAGAATGCAGATGATGCGAAAACTTGCACCTACCGGGATTGCTGCTGCTGAAATTGGCGGTATGACAATTCATTCATTTTTAGGTGAACAACGCAATTCTAGACAACCACGAATCATCAAACCAGGTGATTCAAAGCTTGAAAAGGAGTGGAGATTGGTCGAATATCTGTTAATTGACGAAATGAGTATGGTTGGTTTGCATTTATTAGCAAAACTTAATCGAATCATTTGCTCTGCAAAACATGTCGATGCTCCGATTCCGTTCGGTGGCGTAAACGTCATTTTCTTCGGTGATTATTTACAATACCGACCCATATACGATTCACCATTATATACTGATTTTTCTGTACCATCGAAAAAGAAATCAAGCAAATCGCCTACTGAGAAGGAACTTCAACAACGCGTTGCACGTTCCCTAATTCTCCAAATCAACTGTGTTGTGAAACTCACTCAGCAAATGCGAACAGAGGATTCTCGATATCTTCAACTTCTCGAGCGACTTCGTCATGGAAAATGTAATTATGACGATTATGAGTTACTATTAACACGAGTTGTAGGACAACCATCAGTAAATTCTCTATGTGATCCACCTTGGAATAAAGTAAAACTTAATTTTTTTGTCACATATTTATTTATCATCGTCTTTTCAGGCGCCCATTCTCGTATTCCGAAATGAAGTACGGACAAAATTGAACAACAAGGCAGCAGTTCATAGGGCAGTAGAGACGGGTCAAGCACTTATGGTGTGTACTGCTCAAGATAGTTGTAACGGCAAATCAATCGAAGATCCAAATTTGGTTAAAAAGTTATTAGAATTACCTGATAGCAGAACAGAGCATTTACCTGGTCTTTTACCTTTGGTTCCTGGAATGCCTGTTATTTTAACACAAAATATTGCTATAGAACTAGGTCTTATCAATGGAATGAATGGAATCTTTCGACAACTTGTGTACGAAGAAGATTCTGTTTCCACAGACGGTATCTCAGAAACGTTCCCCAGTAATACACAATATATCCGTAAACCGTTATACGCCATTATTGAAATCGCTCGGTCGAAGATTGAATGCAGTTTCGAACAACTTCAATCAAATCTCATTCCGATCCCGTTGATGGAGCAAACATTTCGTATTAATATCGCTGATCTGCTACCAAAAGATAAGAAACCAAAATCAAATTCGAAAACAATTCTATCAGTTAAGCGACGTGCATTACCACTTGTGCCTGCGTATGCTATCACAACCCATAAAAGTCAGGGTCAAACTTTGAGCAATGTTGTCATTGATTTAAAACTACCAAACAGAACTGATGATATTGCCGCAATTTATGTCCCATTGTCACGTGTGAAACGCTTGACTGATTTAATTATTCTAAGATGTTTCGATTACAAAACTTTATTAATGAAACCAACTAAATCGCAACTTGCTGAGATGGAAAGACTAGATAAACTATATACGGAAACACAGCTGCGCTTTGCTCAACATTTCTAACAATCTTTTTCTGTTTCGCTAAAGTTTGCTCGTGGCTGCTAGTATTTATGACATAATGTTATGACCTCTCAAGAAAAAATACGTTCTCTGCTCACACCAATTTTACAAAAAATTAGCTATTTTCCTTTTGAAAGTTAATAAATAGTGACACACAAATATTTTACTCGTTTCATTGTATATCAAGTTGCTAGATCGATTTGTCCCACTAATAGCACACGCAGAAAGTATATGCGTTCCACAGTCGAGGGTGAAGTGAGTCGGCACGACGAACGTTACTTGTCTCTGAATTTATTCAATTGGCCGTTGTTTCTTTTTTTTAAATATTTTCGTTGGCAATTAACAAATTTGTTTAAACAAGAATCAAGTTGATCCAATGTTAATTTTGCTATTGGACATAATTTCGATTGTTCAGTTAATTTTATTTGACACTGATTCATATGCGTTTTTATATCATTAATATAATTGATTAGATATTG